CTAGATGATCTTTCGAGGTCCCTTCCAGTTTCTAACATTCTGTGATTCTGTGATATCTTGGGTTGATTGTGATTATGTTCTATCAGTGGAAACTCACAGTGCAACAGCTCAGTTGAAGACTTGTTTCATGTAGGTTCTCTGTGTTGTAGTTCTTCGACTACTGAAAAAGTTGTGCTTGAAAGTTGATGACTGTTCTATTGCTTGTTTCCTTAAAATGTTTTAATTACTACTAACTTTCAAAATTTATGAGTCTCTTAGGAAATGGACAGAGGGGAATTGCTCCTTTTTCAGAGTGTGAGGTGATGTTTTGGTTTCATTTCATTTGTAGGCTTTGACTTCCTTGAACTCTTATGTAGTTTATTTCTGAACTCTTATGTAGTTTATTTCTGAACTCTTATGTAGTTTATTTCTAAGCTCTTAGCTTCTCAAATAGTTTTCTTGTGTGCTTTTTATCTCTGTATTTGATGTAGCTGCCTTGGCATCCTGACTGTTGGCAAATCTGTGTGGACCTGCAGCTCTGCCAGACATGAGCGAAGAAACATTTGCACTGTCACCAGTTCTTGTATATTGCAACTTCATAAGCAACTCCATCAAATCTTTTGTGTGTGTTAACATGTATTTTAGTTGATGAGGGAGGAGGGGGAAGCCCTGAATTTCTGATTCCTCTCACAGTCAAGAGAGCTTAGGGTACTTGGGAGTCCAACGAAGTTTCATAAACAGAATAGCTGAAATGCTGTTTTTGTGGATGTTGAGCTGACTGATCTGCTGAAGCTTTGAGTGTCTGCGTATGTGCAACCTCAATCTACCTTTGGAGGCTCTGTGGAAACATGCTGCTTAACACAGATGTTTTTTGAGAAGCTGGAAAGTTCCAAGCGAAAATATTTCAACAATCATTTTTGTCTAACTGATTTTAGTAAAATTTAATCAGTTGGCTCATTTCAGTTAGACACTTGTAAAATGAAGTAAAGCTGTCTCAGCCCTGTCAGGTTTTGATTTATTTCAGAGGCTGTTGGTACTTGAGTAGAGTTCATTGTTAATTGGCTACCTGAATTCTTTCTGGATAGTAAGGGAAAGAAATGCAGGCATATTTGATCTTTTTTATGACCTTTTTGCCTATAGCTGTCTGTGTTCAGTGAAAAATCAGGAAAAAAAAAGTGGTTGTAAGAGTGCTTATTTTGTTGTATAGCTCTGGGAATTGTGGCTAGCTGCACTCAGTAACTTCAGGTGATTATATCAGAAATGGTGAAAGCTTTTTAAGGAAAGGAAGCCTGTGTTCTTTAGGGTATAAACCAACCACTAACTGCCTGTTAGAGGATTAGAAGAAAACTTATTTAATGAACAAGTAATTAAATAATTGCTCGCTGTGGACTTTCTTACCCTTCTGTTAGCATTTAGCAGTGGCCATTCAAAAATTTTTTTGAACTATATAGAAATTTATGTGTCTTATTCTTGAACTGGAGTGACAGTTTTTATGTCTGTGTAAGCTTGGATGACTGGAACGTATTACCCCAGAAAAGTGTACTAAAAAGATTATGTAAATGTCTTGATACTGCACTGTGATTAGTGAGGTGTGGTTTGTGATTATTGTTACAAGCACGGTGGGACTAAGTGTATGCAGCTGGAATTTAAGGAATGTGAAGAGATCATTTGGTTGAGCTGACTAAAACTAACCTATGCTTAGGATCCAGAAACAGGTATCTGACTGAAGGCTGTCATGTAATGGAATGGTAATCATGCCTGTTAAATCCACTGTTCAGAAGTCCTCCTCCCTTTATCTGCAGGAGGATCCTAGAATTAAATAATCTGCTACAATCTCTATGTGAGATAGATATAAAACATTCTTCATTGAAATTGCAGATTTATGATAGCCTGTTCCCTCTCAATACAAATAATAAATAAACTTTGACTTTTCTTTTGTTACAGTACTTCCTTAATAGAAATTGGAAGTGTTCAGTCATGTACATAATTTTTTTTTGGTAGAGAAGGGGAGTTAAAAACTTGTGTTTTTTTGAGGAAGAGGGGCACAAATATTATTTTCTTCACTTTAAAAGTTTGTATACAGCTGTTACGTTTGAGCCACAAGGATGACAAATGTCAGTAATTCAGTGAGTTAAGATCTCTGATCTCTAGAGCAGTAAATCTTCTTAATCCTGAACAGGTTTTTTTGCGTCTTTTTGCACAGTCTGTTTTGCTAATGCAGCTTTTTTCTTGTCTAGTTCTGAAGAGGGCTTTATGCTGATACAGGCTTCTCCACCATTTTTTAAATTTTCGTTTTCCTCCTTATAGGTGATCTAATAAAATTAAGCTTCTAAGCTACTGTTTTGCCAAGTATACTACAAGTTTTTACTTTGCAAGACTCAGCTGAAATCCTTCTTTATCTTTGCCTCCTTTGCTCCCTGGCCAGCAGCTGCTGCTGTGGAGATTGGAGTGCTGCCAGCCCAACTTCAAAGTGCCAGATGCAGTGCAGGATTCATTCAACATGAAATACCTGTTTAGAGTACAGGAAACCCCCACAGGAGAGCTGCAGTAGTCCGTACCTTTTGTATATCTTGTATTAATAGACTTCTAGAAAACAATCCATTAATTCCCATAATGGTCCAAGATTTTCTACCCTCTGTCTAGAAACTCACAAGATAAAGATGATGTAGAGAACCCCATCGTATACAAAAGATACAAAAGCCAATCCTCTTCACTTTGAGCATGCAAGCTAAAGCCTTGAGCCTGCATCAGAGGTCACCAGTCTGGGTGCTGAATATCTGCAGGATCAGTAGTACAGTGCTCTGAACTGATTTGTCTCCTGGATTGCTCATCTCACAGTTAAAGATCTCAGTCAATATTTGCCAAGTTGTGAAATTCTTGCTTTTGAGTATGATCCTCATGTAACCAAGAATGAACATGAAGTCTGAAACTGGGAATTTAGTGGCCACTCATTCACTTAAATTGTCTCTTGGCTATATGCTAAGGTTCTTAAGTAGGAAAAATGATGCAGCCTCAAGTAGAGGCAGCCCTGCTATGTTTTTATCTTCTTTGTTAGTACATTTTAAAAATTTTATGTCAGTAAAATCTGGAAACTGATTTTGTTCAGTGCAAACCTAATAACAATGAAGATAATGTATCAGTCCCCCATCTAGTTCAGTGTATATGTGCATGAGCAATCCTGCAAGTATGAGGGATCAGAATGCATCAGATTTTTGATCAGATCATGAATAATCTGGTCTGTAATCTCTGCCTTTGTAAACTAGTCATCACTGCTTTTTCTTGTGGCGTTCAGTCCTGCTTAATACCTGACATATGTCTTTCCTATGCTTTAAAGCCTCTGTTTCCTCTTGTAATCTTTTGTAAAAAGTACATTATTTCCCCTGTTACTGCCACACCTTATTCCTATGTCCTCTTTCTTCAGTCAAACTACTGAAAAGGGAATCTTCCCAAATTCTTCACTACACATGTTATATATAGTACCTCAGTTTCTTTTAACAAATCTGTAGTGCTTGGTTATCTTGTTGCTTCCTGTGGACTTACATGTACACACAAAAAATTTTCCAACTTAGGCCATCCTTGCCTCCAAAAGGTGCAATAGTCTACAAAATGCTGTATTTTTCAGTTGTCTGTGTGCTGATTTAATTGGGAAAGTTGAAAGACAATCTGCTTTTCTTCATTGATGAGGGTGAAACTTGCCTCCAGGCATAAACATGTTTTGGTTCTGGAAACTCATGAACCCATTGGATTTCAAGAACTGTATCTCTCAAGTGTCTCTGTCTCATTCAGTTTGTAGTAAGAAACTCCAGTCTGTGTGAAAGGATCAGGCTGGGAGTCTTTCTGGTTTAAGTCCTTGTTATTAGATGAAGCCCCAGCAGCACTACCTTGTTTCAGGATTTGGAGGCTCCTCAGATCTTTCATTGCTTCTTCACTCGGCCTCATTGACATGTTTTTCCTGAAAGCTGCAATGGGGCCATTTACACTGAGGCTTAGTCTTTTTTTTAAGAGTCAGTCTTAATTCCACTGAAATGAAGCAAAATGGACTGTTGATGTGTAACAAAGTCTTGATGTTGGAAGTGAGAAGGATGCTTCTAATCTATTTGCTTACATTGTTTTCGTTATTAATTTGCAGTGGATATGACTTTGGCTATCTAATCAAAATCCTGACAAACTCTAATTTACCTGAAGAAGAGCTGGACTTCTTTGAGATACTGCGATTGTTTTTCCCTGTCATCTATGATGTAAAATATCTCATGAAGAGTTGCAAAAATCTGAAGGTAAGTAATCTGCTAATGACTCAGAACAAATTCTGGTTTTGGAGACAGAGTACTTTCTGCTAAAATATACTTATTTTCTCTATTTTCTGATTTTGCTTTTATAATGCCCGTTCAACAGCCTTGTTGTCTCAAATTTTACATATATTTAATTTTAAAGGCTATTGAGGCAGGCAGGGGCACACATCAATATTATAACTGCTTGCCAGTTAATAGTATGTTGATACTGTATTTATAGTGCCCAGTCTCTGTTGACAGATGATAAACTCATGTTTGGAATTGATCATTCACTTCTTGAGCCATAAGAATTGATGAGTTTCATATACTCTTATTTCCTCATTGTGCAGTCCACTAAGGGACTGTAGTCATCTTGGCAAAGATAATTACAACAATGATGCTGTGGAAGTGTCTTGGGCAGAGAAATGGAGCAAAGAATGTTTCAGGTGGCCCCATAAGGAAAGATAAACAGCAGCATACATTCAGGGGCAACATGTGACTTCTAGAAAAGAAAAGCAGCACTAGAAACTAATCTCTCATGTCAGGCCAGCAGGGTTCCTAATTGGCTTACTCTATGAGGCATAAAATTTAGATACTTTATTGGACTGGAGAATGAATGGAAACTGGAACTAAGTATGTGAAGGGGAAGACAGCAAGTGAAAGAAAGATGCAACAGGGATTGTAAGCAGCTTTACTTGCCAAAGAACTGCAAGAGTCTGGAATGCTGCTGGAATGAGGTGCATCGCTCATCTGAGGCAATTAATGACTTGTTGATTTATGAAAAGTGACTCGATTCTCTAGGCTTTCTTAATGAGAACCTGCAGGAAAAAGAGAACACTGACTGTAGTACCGAATCCTAGCTAAGGAATGGCTTGCTACTTCATCGTACTCAACTAGTGATCTGCATGGGGTTTATAGTCCTCTGTTTCTTTCTGAGATAAGCTAATAGTGTGTCACTTTTAAGTAGTAGCCTACTTGTATAGGAAATAAGGTGTGTATATCCTTTTGTTACTCTTATTAATGCTGAAAATTGAGACCTCCCTTCCAGTTAGTACAAAACGTATACCTACCTGTGTTCATCTAGAGTTGTTATTGTTATAATCAGCCCAGCAAATAGCTGAGTATTAGAGAATGTCTTAAAAACGGTTTTTCTCCACAGAGGCCAGAACTATAAAGGAAATGCTCATAAACTCCAGGAGTCTTAAAGGTGGGGTGATGGGGACCTCCAAACAAAAAACCCCCTCACTTTCTCACTCCTGGTGAAGCAAAGTAAAGCATCTGGTGTCTTAGTGGTGGCAACACACTTACCAAGAACAGAATGTATAATCCAACTTCAGTGACGTAGGAAAGGTGACAGAATGATGCTCTGTGTCACTATTCTGGAGGTGACATTCCCAGTTGGTTTGGGGAGAAGGGGATTGTATTTCCTGTAATTTCATTAAGATATAGTTATGTGTAACCTGCATTGTTTAGAGACACTAATGGTTTTTGGAAGACAAGAAAAACCTTCACAAGTCTTACTTCAGCAAACCTTAAGAACAAGGGTGATTTTTTTTTTTTTTTCCAGAACTGAATATGTAGGTCAGCTTTCCTGCAGTAAATCTTGATCCTGTCACCTAACGTGCAGACTGGTAGTAACAGCAGGGGAAGGAACGTGGACTACCCTACCCCTCCAAATTTACCAGCAATGAAATGGTAGTGGACTTGTACTGTACTGAGAGCAGCTGTCTGAAACGAAGTGCTAAACATTGTGTTGTGACTCTAAAGATGCATGCACTGTCTTCTAATGTCTGTCACTTTCAATCTCTATTAAATTTCAGTGAACTGAACTGCTGTGCAGTTGTCCTTTATTGACCTGTCCAAGTTATTTTTCATATGAAAGTCTCTGACTTGCTGTAGAAAAAGAATTTTTGGCATTGAGAAGAGAAATATGCTTCAGGATTGGGAAGCTATTTGCTCTTTTTGTGGAATTAGGCAGTCTGTGAATTTACAGTAATGTTACTCTAAGTGGACATGAAAGTACTTTACTGGCGTGCAGATTGTCAGTTAACTTGAGATATTAATGTAATATAAGTTAAACTCTTGCTTGTTCTCTAAAAATCTTTCTACGTTGATAATGCCAAACCTTTTAATAGTAATGGCAACTAAGTAATGTAGATTTATAGACCTTGTTGGAAACTTACTTTTAATATGGGGGTTTATACAGAACAATGAACTCTGGTACCAGTGCCATGAAACAAGAGTTTGAACTGGATTTGCTGTTGACTGAGGTCATGTGATTATGTAAATCAGTCTGTGGCCTTTTTCTTGAAAGACACATGCTCTGAAAATTTGGAAAAAATTTGTCCTCCTACAACAATAAAATGTTCTTATCTGGAGTGCAAGCCTTTCCCGAAAGAGTATCTCAATAGCTTATTAATTTTCAGAGAGAGCCAAATTTTACTCTGTAATTATTGCAGTTACAGACCAAGAAGTTCCACACAAGTAGTGTGTTCTGTATTTACAAATAGATACATACCATTAAAAGCACTGTTTTCAGAGCATTCTTCTGTAGGCTGCTGTTTCTGTAAATTTTGATTTACTAAGTTTACGTTCCAGCACTTGCAGCTGCTGTGTAAGTATTACTCATTTTCGAGTGTTTTTTCTTCAAAGTTACTTGAAGCTAGAGTAGATAGTCTTGTAGCTAGCAGGACCTGATGATGAGGCACTGCTAATTAGCAGCTTGAGGAAGTAGAGGGTTTAGGAGTAGAAAATGGTGCCTTGGAAGGGTGTGAGCCTAACTGCTGTTGCTGATTCTAGCAACTCATTATTGGAGTTACAAAGTGGAGAACATGCTTGTATCCGAGATGCACTTTTTTCCCTTGCCCACCAAGCCTCAGCGTGTTTTTGAGAGTGTAGGTTAAGTAATGAGCCAGTGCAGTGTTCAAGTGTTGTACCCAAGCTCATGAAGAAAGCAAGCTAACTTTAGCACTTTAAGATAAAAATAAGTCTATACACTATAAACGTCTGTGAACTATATTCCTG